AAGCCCCCATCAAGTTGATAGTTTCTGTTCAGACTACAATTATAAAGGTTAGCCCAATAAACCTACTTATCCAAAGAAGGTGTTCAGTGTGTAGCAATAGTTGCACATAGTCTGATTTCAATTTGGGGGATTATGAGTTTTTAAAAGAAAATTATGTTTTAAAAAGGATTGGTCACCTAAATATTCCTCATTTTTTAGGCGTTATGCACACAGGATGTTTTCTTCACTCTCCTAGAAGCCTTTCCTCCTGGCAGCAGCATTTTGGCAAAAAAAACCCTGATGCTTGTAAAATGTGTAATGTGCTTGGACGAATTTAGCAGCGTCAAATGTTTGGGCATTAATTAATTTCATTGACCAGAATACATTTATTCTGGCCATTGAAATGAATAAATGCTCAAGCGCTAAACACATATGGCGTTAACGTGCGCTTGCATGCATTTAGAAGCATCAAGCATTTTTTTTCTGCCAAAACTTTGCTGCTCCTGGACGCACTGGCAATGGGTTTTTATTCCTGCCATTAAACGTCTCTAAAAGTTTTTATGTCCGCATGAACACATAAGGCTAACATGCTTGGGAGTTGAGGCAGAAACAAGCCACCAGACACCCCTTGGAACAGTTGTAAAAACATCCAGTGTGCATGAGACCTTAAAGCAGTAAAACTTAAAAAAAAAAAAAAAAAAAAAAAAAAAAAAAAGCTGGGCTCCCTTCCCCTTCAGAAAAAAAAAAAAAAAAAAAAAAAAAAAAAAAAAAAAAAAAAAAATAAAAAAAAAAAAAAAAAAAAAAAAAAAAAAAAAAAAAAAAAAAAAAAAAAAAAAAAAAAAAAAAAAAAAAAAAAAAAAAAAAAAAAAAAAAAAAAAAAAAAAAAAAAAAAAAAAAAAAAAAAAAAAAAAAAAAAAAAAAAAAAAATAGGTTTATGCCATTATGTGCGAGCACATTGATGTACTTGCCTTAGAAATGAATCCCTCCAGCAGCATGCTGTCACCGCTGCAGCGGCTTCCATCTTTCCCTGGCCTTCCTTCTGGGCTTATGGGCTCTGGCCGTTTGAATGATTGGGCCACGATGATGTCACTCCCATACATACAAGACCCACGGCCACGGCATGGCACTCTGCATTATAAACCATACTGTATGGCCGTGAATGCAGAGCTTCTCTGCGCATGTGCGGGTGACTTCCGTCGCCCATTGTGGATGCAAATATCTCCTGAATGTTGCACTTTTTAGGGGATATTCATTGTACTCACAGGTAAGCTTACCTATAGGTACAAGTGCACTCACAGGGTTAACTTCCACTATAAATCTAGAATTAGCATGGGAAAGGATTACACATTTCCTTGGCCACCCTCCTCTTCACTTGAGTGACAACTGAATGCTGTCCATCTGTAGCTCAGTAGTATCAGGATGATGAGAGGTGGATGATCAGGCTATGTTCTCAGTAGGATGTTTGTCCGCTGACCTTCCTCACTCACATAACTGGAGAGACCGGAGGCTGATGTGTACACCCAGTGAAGTACTTCTTTCCTTTTCTTCATCAAAGAATCTATTTGTACAGGAATTTTTTAATATGTTTGAAAATCTCTGATCAGACAAGTGTGTGCAGTATTCCATGTGGCCCAATAGTGAATTGCTAGGTGACAAAAAAGAGTAGTAGTTGCCATAAGCAAACTACCAAAGTAGCAAATCTTGGGTGTTTATTACCTACTTTGGTAGTTTGCTTCTGGCAACTACTACTCTCTTTGCTATATATCATTTTTTGGTTTACGCCCACACCATTATAAGGTGCGTTCTGTGAGCTCACTATTAGGTTACCCCGCCTTTTATATTTCATGGTATATTTATATTTTTTGAATACTTGAATTGCTAGGTGACCCCTTGTTGCAAGCTGTGCTCAGTTTGGTCACCCTGCTTTCAGCTATTGTCATGCAGAGGCACTCTTGCTCCTTGTGTTATATTGTGTCTTGTTATATTGTATTATTGTCAATTCTCTGTGATAGGTAGGACAGAGAGCTGGAGCTGCAAGTGGAATACTTGTCTATTCCTGCCAATAGACACGGCAGAACAGAGAAATGATTGCTTTGAACTAAAAAAAGCTTGTGTCTTTTGTTGATCAGGAAAAAACATTTTTTTATGTTTTTGAAGAGCGGTGCAAGTTTGTGCACTATTCTTTATTTTAGAGACTAAACTTAAAACACTACTATACTCGTCAGTCATTGCAGTGTTGTAGTTTGAACATTGGGCAAAAAAAGCTAGAAAAAAAAATAAAGTTGTTGTAAAAGCTGAAGATTTTTACCTTCATGCATTATATGTAGGTAAACCTTTGTGTGCTGCTCCCCTCACAGTCCCCCTTATACTCACCTGAGCCCCCCCTCTCGATCCAGAGATGTCCACAGGAGCCTTGGCTGTCCCATGTCTCTCTCTCTCTCCTCATTGGCTGAGACAGCAGAACCATTGGCTCCCACTGTTGTCAATCACAGCCAGTGAGGAGGGACAGGGTTGAGCCACGTCTCTTTATTTCTTATGGACACATAGAGAAGGGCTTGGAAGTGAGCACACACCAATGCCCCCCATAGCAAGCAGCTTGCTATTGGGAGCACTGTCCAAGGGAGAGGAGCCAGGTGCGCCGGTGTGGGACCCGAGAAGATCAGGATTGGGGCTGCTCTGTGCAAAACCACTGCACAGAGCAGGTAAGTATAACGTGTTTGTTATTTAAAAAAAAAAAAAAAAAAAAAAGCCTGGTTCCAAATAGTTAAAATGGTTGTAAAGGCAGAAGATTTGTACCTTCATGCATTCTATGCATGAAGGTGAAAAACCTGTGTGCTGGCCCCCACTTAGAAGGGAACTTCCTCGTTTGGGTGGAGTTCTGCTTTAACTCTCAGATGGTGTATGCTATTATTTACAATTTACACTTTCATTAAGCTTTCCCTATACTTCTGGCACTCTGACAATAGATGTGCAGCTCTCCTGCACACAGGGCATCTTGTCCACCCCTTCTCTCACTTGTCTTGTCACAGGAAGCTTTGTTTTTTGTGAATGGTTCTCAAAATACAAAGTATTCTATGACTGGACAAAAGGAGAGGAGGGGCAGGAAAACAGGATGGCCTCTGTGCAAGAGCTGCAAGTCTCCTGTAGGAGCACTGGAAGTACAGGGAAAACTATACTATTAGTACTCACTGAAAGTGTAAATTGGAAATGACAGGCAGTGACCTGGGATGTGGAATGCACTTCCTAAGGCCCATGTACACGGGACACTTTGAACGATGGAAACTGACTGCTGGAAAACGTAGGTTAAAAACATCTGTTTAGCCGCGTTTGCATAACGCGTTTATGTGTGTTTTGCATTTAGAAGCTTGTTTTAAAGAGGAGCACAGGAGAACCTCCCAAATGCCCAGAATGCACTGACAAGTGGTAAATTATTACCTATTTCAGACTCTTTCAGAGAAATACAGAGAGTAGAAGCAGAGACAGCAGTATGCGTTGAGATTAGCTTAGGTGTGAGTTGCTCATTAACATTTCTTTTGTTTCCAAGGGTGGGAGAGATCTGAGGTGTGAATTGGTCATTACAATGTGTGACAAGCTTGGTAGGAACATCCTGTTTTTAGTGTTTTGTCCATCTGAGTACCTTGAAAATGCGTTGCATGCATTTTTCATGATGAAAAAAGGCTCTGGACAGCATCGGGAACTGGAAGAGTTAAAAAAAATAAAAATAAAAAATAGCAAACTCTTCTAAACGCGGTTATCTGGTTGGTGTTTGAAACGCTGATAAAATTGACTGCTGAACCAAGTTTTCTGTGTTCAAAAAAATGACAGTAAACTCAAATGCCTGTAAACAATTGTAAACGACGATGTGTACATGGACACATAGGAAAACAGCTCCTAAACGTGAGTTTATCAGCTGCAATGTACATGGGGTCTAAGAATTAAAGTGGAACTTTAATTAAAAAAAAAAAAAAAAAAAATTTGAACCCATGGGCTTTTTAATACAGAAGTGACATTAACATATTAATAACATATTCTTACCTGCGTGTTTGCACTGTACACTGGGCTGTGCATTCACATCCCAGCGTACAATTTCTGCATATGCCAAGATGAATGAGCTCTCAATTATGTGTGAAAGTGACGTCATCTTGGCCCAGCCAGCCAAAGCAGCTGAAGATTGAAACCCTGAAGATGTCAGCGGCTGTCGGGGAGCTCCTACACCCCACATCACTGGAGTGGAGGGGAGTATAGTTCTGCTTTCCTGTATTTGTAACACAGTAACCTTTTTTGAAAGCTTTTCCTGGAGTTCTTCTCTACACTCTGTTTCACAATGTGATTTAACAGACAATTCTAGGTCTTATAGGATTTTTATGACAATTATCCAATGATTTGTACGTCTCTTAGAAACCTCATTCTGTTTACATAGCGAGCAGCATATGTGAGTATGGCACAACAGCTGAAATTGTAAGTTGGGGAATGCTTGTCATATGCATGTGTGGGAGGGCAGAGAGGGAGGGGAACTTGGCAGTAGAAGAGTTGACGTGCACTCTGGGAAGCTTTAGCCAGACAGTCTGGAAGATGATTCGGTTCCTTGTAACAGGTAAGCAGCAAGACTGCATAGAGTGAGAGGTTTTCAGGCTTCACTAACAGCATTTAAGACCATTCTAAAATCTGATCAGTCTTTGTGGTCAATGAGCTTGTTATGTGTTTCTGCAGTAAAGTTTTATATGTGGAAGCATGTGCCAGCTCTGATTGGTAACGACTGCAGTTTGTTTCCTACAAATACTTTTTGTATTTAATAACTTGTTTTTAGCAGAAAGTTATTTCCTTTGTGATTCATGTCTCTTAGCAGTGAGAGTGTAGATTGGAAAACATGAGTAAGTATCGATTTATCCTTCCTGTAGTTGCTCAAGACCTTTCTGATGATACTTGTTTATGGTAGAAAGACTGTGGAGGGAACGAAAGTATCCAGATGATTGTATCTTTTGTTACTTAAATGATTTTTTTTTTTTTTTATTCCCCAACAGGCATCATTGGCCTCTTAGCTGTGTACTTGGCGTTTGGATATGGAGCATCTCTTCTCTGCAACCTGATTGGATTTGCGTACCCAGCCTATGTCTCGTAAGTGTTCCCTGTCATATTTATATTACCAGCAGGTGTTAATATCTCTGATTCCGTAAAGTGTGTGTTTTATTTTTTAACTCTGTTATTTTGAAACTGGCCCTTTTTAAAAACTGAAACGGCCTAAACTTGACCAAAGGGAAGTGCTGACTTCTAGTACGGAGTGTCTTAGACATATGGTATATGTCTACAAAATGATGCTACTGAGTGTCTAGACATATCATATATGTTTACAGAGTTCCTCAAGGTACACAAGGGGCAGAAAGTCAAGAAACAGACGGAACATATGTCTCCCGGGTTGTGCAATGTCCCTACTGATATCTGTCGATAATGAACAACATAATACACTGTCTATATTTGATACTTGTTTATTAAATAATTTTGATCTCTCCTCCATCTTTTTAATCAGTTATTTATTTTTAAGATCATGTGTCTGTGTAGTTTATGCTGTTTACTCATTTATGTTTGTTTTGATTCTCACCCCCCCCCCCCCCCCCGTCATGCACTATAGCATATGCTTGTTTGTGCAAATAAAGAGATGTTGCAGTCACTTAAGATTCTTATGAACACGATAGTAATGATACTTGCACGTTTCTAGCCTCCTGGAGCATAATTCTGTGCATTGTACCTCAGGTATGGCAGATCAGTGCCAAGTTGTTCTCTCTCCTTTTTCCATTGAGTTTGCATAGCACACAATAGCGTGTCTGTCATTCCTGTAATCTAATCACCACCACTTGGTTTAGTATGGTAATAACGCTTTATCTATTACAGTATATTTGTGTAAAAGATGCTAAATGATGTCTGTGTAAGTGAACAGTTCTGTGTTCAGATCTTATTTCTGAAAACAGGTAGTCTTAGGGTCAGCATACACATTACAATCTATACATACAATCATCTCCTAGATCAGGGCTTAAAATCTCAAGTCCTGAGCTAGAATTACTCGCCACCAACAAACACACACAAACAGAGACACCTGTACACACACACACAGACATGTACATACACACACACACACACACGTATACTCACACAGGCACGTGCATACACACAGATACATACAGACTCCTGTACGTACACACATGTACATACACGCAGACTCATGTACAGATACACACATATACATACACACAGGCACATGTACAATTGTACATGCATACACACACACATGAACACGTACACCCCCCCCCCCCCCACACACACCCATAAAAAGTTGCAGTACTTCGTTGTTCACTCACAGATCTGGGTACTGCACTCTAGGGGGAGGCAGAGAGCACAGCACACACTCCTTGCTTTGCTTTCACTGCGCTCAGCTATTGAGCAGTCTGATGGCTCCCAGTGCCGATGACAGATCTGACCCGAGCTCCGAGCCTGCTCAACAAGATGACCCTGGGGGGGACACTCGCCCCACCATAATTTCCATTCGCCATTGGCGAGCAGGCGAGTGGAAATTTCAAGCCCTGTCCCAGATTGTAAGCTCTAACGAGCAGGGCCCTCTGTTTCCTCTTCTTCCAAATTGTATTGTAACTGTAATGTCTACCTTCTTTTTGTAAAGCTCTGCGCAAATGGCGCTGTATAAATCCTATATAATAATAACTTTACCCATTTACTATGTATTGATTTACCAATACTATGTAATATAGCAACCTACCTAATCTATCCAACCAATTTGTATCCATTGAGGCAGGCTTGTGCTTTTTCTCTCTGGTGCACAACCTGTGGCCCTTGGGTTCCCTTCAGACACTAATCTGTGCTTTCCTATTTCCCTGTTATGGCAGTGATTTCTAGCGGTCTCTTGTAATATGTCTTCAGTCTGTCTCCTGAAGCATGTGCCCAGGCTCCAACAACTCTTATAGCATAATAAATTCAAAATGAGTGTGCTGGTCAAGTAATAAACCTTTAAAAAAAAAAAAAAAAAAAACAAGTTGGGACGTTTTGTAAAATCTATATAAAAATAGAAAGCAATGATTTGCAAATCTCACAAAGCAATATTTTATTCACAATGGAAACCATATCAAATGTTTAAACTGAGGAAATGTACCTTTTTGAAACATTTTGAAATTGATGGCAGCAACAAGTCTCAAAAAGGTGGGACAGGGCAACAAAAAGCTGGAAAAGAGGTACTAAAAAGGAAGAGCTAAAAGTACATTTTACAACTTAAGTTAATTGGCAACAGATCAGTAACATGATTAGGTATAAAAAGAGCATCTTGGCGAGTGGGCTCCAGCTCCTGTACCATATCTGCAGTCTCTGACCAGCTCTTGCACCTGCAAGTCTTTTATAGAGACTGCAGTCTGATATCTTATTCAAAACCTAAAAAAAAAAAATCCGCACAAAGGATTGCATGCCTAATCAGAGATGAGAAGTGCCCCTGGTGCTAATGGCTGTGATTCAAGTTGAAATCTCCCAACCTCTGATTTTCCCCTGATCCCTGCAGTCATGATCCTTTTGTGTTAATAGAGCCGAGGGACCAGTCACAGGCATTCATCAAGAGTGCTGACTATGCCCGCCTATTTTGCACCATTTCTCCATTCATAGAAGTTATGTAGCTTCCATCAATGAACAATGATCTATGAATGGAGGACAGGCAGGTAAAGAAAAGTTAAAAAAAATTGATAGAAATAGTCAGATCAGGCGTTTGACCTAGGTTGCTGTCAGTGTTAGCATTAACTGTTTTAAAGCGGTAGTAAACTCTAGTTAAAAAAAAGCTTACCTTAAAACGAAGCCCTCCAGCGGTGCGCTGTCACCACTGATAGGCCTTTCATCTTCGGTCCTTCTTACGGGTTCATGGGCTCCAGTGACTTGAATGGCCAAGCTGCAATGACGTCACTACCGCGCACTTTTTACAGCACACAGCTCTGCATGAACGGCATGGGCACGCCTTTCCTTCAGAACGCATTTGCCTTAATATAGGCTTACCTGTAGGTACAAGTTAAAAACAGACTTTTCTATGCCAATTAAAGCGGTAGTAAAAAGTGTCAGTGTATATAAGTTGGTTGTGCTCTGGACCCTACTGCAGATACAAACAACAAAAAATGCTCACATATACAGTATCCCCATGCAACTTGAAGAGTAGGAGAACTTATTTTGGGTTATTTTATGGTGGTGGGTCATGGTAATGGCAGCATATATACAGATAAAATTTAAAGCCGTAGTAAATGAATCGAAAAAGCCCTCTCCCCTGCTAGTCAATGACATAATGTGGTAGTATTCACCACATTATGAAAGACTTGCCTTAAAACGAAGCCCTTCAGCGGCACGCTGTCACCGAACTTCCTTCCGAGTTCACAGGCTCCAGCCTATTGAATGGCCGCGCGCTGCGATGACATCACTCCTGTGCATGCATACGGGAGCCACGATTGCAGCACAATGCCCTGAATGGATGACATACTCAGTATGCCGTCCATTCAGAGTGGAGTTTGCATGTGCCAGTTATGTCAACGGCTGCATAAACGGTGCACATTTTTTAGATACTCCTTATGCCTGCAGGTAAGCTTTATTATAAGTATACCTGTAGATACAGTACAAATCACCAAGCGGTGTTTACTACCACTTTAAAGCGTGATTTTTTTTACCTTTTGATACGTATGGGAAAAAAAAAAATACGAAGATATCCATTAATACTTTCAAATGAAGGCCCAATTTTTCCAGAACAGAAGAAGGTATAATTCACTTGGATACACTAGGGAGTTGTGATTATATTTACTAACATGTTTATACGTGCCAAAGTTGCAAAACTGGGTGCAGGAGTTGAGATTTGTTTTACCTTCCTCATTAAGGAGGTAAAGCTGTATTGGGCTCTATGCACAGTAGGAGCTGAAAAAACTGCTGACAAAACGCTGTATAAAAGATGCTCAATGTGAACTTTTTTTTTCCCCTGGAGTTTTTCCTTTTTGTGTGCCAGCGTTTTGCAGTTTAGGTGGTTGTTAAGGAACAGGCTGGCAAATCGGCAGCCACGTCCTTAACAACCATAACTCATCAGCTGTTAGCAGGGTTCCCTACTGACAGCTGAATGTGAACAACAAAATTGCTGGCAATTTAAAATTTGAGGAAAAAAAAAAACCAGCGTGGGGGTCCCCCAATCCATACCATGATATATAAATTGTGTTTTTTTTTTTTTTTGGTTTTTTTTTTTTAATTTTTACATGCCAGACCCTTATCTGAACACGCAGCATACCAGACCATTATTCCACCATCTTCCCCTGAACCATACCAGGCCACCCCCCCCCCCCCCCCCCCCCCCCCCCCCCCCCCCAAGATCCTGTAACTACGCTGACAGGGATGTGTCATCTGCTGTTAAGGATGTGGCCTCTATGGGAAAAAAAAAAAAAACTGCTGTAAACCGGCTCTTAGCAATGTTTAGGAGCTTTAAGTGTATTTTGTTTTTTTCTGCTGAAATATCACTCCCAAAAAAGTCTGTCCACTCATCCTTATTCTCAGAGTGCCCCCCATAGCAAGCTGCCTGCTTTGAAGGCACCTGTGTGGGCATGCTCCCAAGCTAGGCTGTGTGCGTCCATAGACTCTCACAGCATTGACTTAGCCCCATCCCCTGCTTCCTGCTCACAGAATTTGATTGACAGCAGCAGGAGCCAATGACTCCTGCTGTTCTCAAACCCTCCTGTGAATACAGGAAGAGGGGAGCAGAGCTGCTGCAGACAAGACAGTGCTGGACTGTCTGGACTTACTCGAGTAAGTGTTTTTTTTTGGGGGGGGGGGGTTTATTGGGGATTTTCGCTAATGAAAGGTTATTATCTTAATGCAGAGAATACAATAAGGTTAAGAACATTTTGCATTTAGAATCACTTTAAGGAAAGTGTGTGTTTTTTTTTTTTTTCCCCCAAACAAAGTATACTTCCCATTTTTGCCACACTTCATCCCTGACCCCCAATCAATAGCTGCATTTCTGCCAAGTTGTTGCATGTTCAGCTTAAAGCAATGTTTATTTCAGTATTCCAGACTGGGAGTAGGTAAACTTTGGGTCATGGCTTCAATAATTCTATCAA